TCCTTCCATCCAAGATGTCATTACTAAAAGCTATACAAAGAATTAAATAGTTTAATATTTTTTATATTTTAATTATATTTTTCTTCTCGCATGATAAAGGTGTGTTTTTGAGAATTATGTACTTTATTTGCATTCGATTGTACTAACTGTATTGGTAGTTTGATACACTTTTGCACATTGTAAGGTTGGTTTATATTGAATAAATATTTTTCGTTTGAATTGGAGGCTGCACGCTAAGATGGTGGCACTATTTTGGATTGGAGGCTTTAGAATTGGAGGTAATAGGCTGTATAGTTTGGTATTTTATAATATCAGTGGCACGATTGTGTAATTATTACATGGATTATTAGACAGTTAAAGTTTATCAGTGATTGAGGGATTATATTTCTTAGGTATTAGATTTATAGGAAAGCATTCTGATTGACTTGTGATCAACACTTCTGATGATGTCAGCCAAGCTGGTTAATCAGGGACAGAGGCAGACTGGAATAAAAGATATGAGTATATTAAGGCGGGTAAGGGAGTGTGGGGTGGCAGGTGGGTTAGATGGTGTTTTTAACACTATAGGGTCAGGAATATTGTAATAATGTTTTTTTTTTTCTGACCCTATAGTGTTTAACATTTTTTATAAGCAATGTCTTTGGAATAAATTGAATAGAGTTCATCCACGTGCAACGTTTTGTAGGATCCTTTCCTTCCACATTTTTCCTTATAATAATAGCCACCCTTTAAGTCGAAATCCTTTATAATCAAGTTATTAACAGAATTATAGCAAATGAACCCATTCACAGACTAATGTGTTACACTTAACAGTTGAGCTCTAATTATAGTTTATTATCATTTTATAACAATTGGTTATTTAAATCAGACCATAAATCTGTGTTGGTTTTTGATTTTAGAGAAACAATATTTGATGCAGACTTTAAAACACTAGTATACTAATAATTTAGCATAAAATCACTGATGATTCATTTCTGTTTTAGTAGGTGTCGAAAAACAGTGTTTATTCACTGACAAGATGCTACTAACTTGTTATGCAAATGATAGAAAATGCAATTTAAATTTTTTATAGGTTTTCACAACCAACACAACTGTTTTCAAATGTTTAATGTAATAAAAATAGAAATCAAATAAATTAATATATATGTATAAATGGTTATAAGGCAACTTAACTACATAACACAGATGCAGCATTAAAATAATACGTACAATAAAATATAATTTGGTAAATAAGATTAAAATACACAATTAAAATGTGAAATTGTGTTCTCTTACAAACACATGTCACGGTTTGAGGCTAAGATTGTTTTGTTTGTGAATGCATGGAGGAAGAGAGTTATCAGTACAATACAATCCTCAACTTATAAAAAAAAAATTGGATAATGAAGAGCGTACTTAAAGAAATATTCACCATTGAGACATACTTGGGCTGAAATTGATATTGTATCTATGTGGAAGCACATTGGTAGTGAAAATCAAAACAGCACGACCGTAGAGACGTGTAGCGATAGACTGTCCAGGAAAGATGCATTAGAACATTTTGGGCATTTTGTCCGGTACTGACACAAAGGATGAGACACGATATGCTCAGATGAAAAAATATATATTCTTGGAGTGTGATTGCAGGTAATGGAAGCGTACAAACATGAAATGTAAGGATAATGCCTAAAACATGCCTTATATCTCCCAACTCTTCACTGTTGATTTTTTTTTTCTCCACACAGTAAATTCCTGGTTCCATTTCTATTTTATTGTCAGTAGCAGAATAAATAATATCTTCTAGATGACTGAATAACAATGATGGAACCTTACAAAAGTGGATTTATAGGTGTCTGTCTTATTCTTGGCTCAAAAAAATGATTGATGGAGTGCGGAAAGTAGAAATAAACCAGACAAAATGTATTCACCTGATTTTGATGAGGCTTAATTCTTGCGTGGTGGGACCTCCTCCAGTAGTTTATACACTCACATAAAGTGAGTGAAGTCAAGGGCTTATTAGATTGCAGATTGCTCATTGTTTCAGTGTACTTTCGGGAATTTGTTAGACATGGCTGCAAATTGTTGGTAAAGCTGTTGGTGTAAGGTATTAAGGTGCCACAAGTAGGGTTGGTGGATGTTACTGGATATCCAAATCAAACAGACGAAATTGTAGGTCTTTGTATCTTCACCTGATAAGAAAAGAATATAGAATAACATGGAGTTAAAAAAAAAGAAATGAGAAATAGAGAGCAGCGATAAACTGAGCCACTATTAAATAGGTCAAATGCCAGCGTAGATTTATACATCGACCATACAAATATGTTATATATGTTGCAGTTTATTGTGGATACCAATAAGTTGACAGACACAATCAGAACGGTCTTTCTTAAGAGGCTGTAAAAATACCCAGTGTATACATAAGGCAGCAGATTTGTATTAATGTGAAATTATTTTTTTTATATATGCGTTTTATGTCATGGGTGAAACAGCAATACAATAAAAAAAATAAAAATAATAATTTGTCCATCAATACCATGAAATCATATTTCACTTAAGTTGTGATTAATTGTAATATATGACAACAAAGCATTTACTACTCAGGAAAATATACGGCTGTAATCAAAATTATTCGACCCCCATTGAAAACAGGTTTATTGTCAAAATTTACAGACTTTTAGCTGTTTGCAATAAACAAAGCAAACAACAGCAAATGAAATAACTCAACGCAATGAATGCTTTTAGTGGTTTCCCCAAATTCAACTGAAAATACACCTTATAATGAATTCTCCATTGTAAAAATTATTCAACCACCTGTAGAGAACCTCTCATAATATGACATATATGCAAAACAAGTGTTGTCTTACACACACCCGATGCAAGTAAGCAAGCGCTTCATTAGTTTCACCAGGTGTGCTTGAGCTGGAACACTTGAAACACCTGAACTGTAGGGGTTTTTAGAGTGTCTGAATGTTAGGAAAATGGCTAAGTCAAAAGAATGGTCCACCAAGTTAAGAGAAGAGATCATCACCCTTTATAAACAAGGAACAACTTACAAAAAGATAGTGAAGACACTGAATGTTCCTAGAGACACAGTTGGAAGCATAGTTTTCAAGTTCAAAGTTGAAGGAACAGGGGTTACACTATTTGGATGGGGCAGAAAAAGGAAGCTATCAATGGATCAAGTGAGTGCAATAGGCCTGCAGCAAGACTCGGTGTCAACAGGCACTGAGGTTTCAGTGAGCACAGTAAGGCATGTACTATATGCAGAAGGTTTTCTTGCCAGAACTCCAAGATGCACATCACTACTGACCCAAAAGCACAGAAAAAGGTGTCTCCAATTTGCACAAAATCATTTAAATAAGCCACAAAGCTTTGGGATTCTGCTCTGTGAAGAAATAAAACAAAACTGGAACTTTTCGTCCCAATGGATAAGCAGTATGAGGAAGAAGAATACAGTGTACACTGAAAAGCATCCCCTGCCTACAGTTAATTATGGTGGTGGCTCTGTGATGCTCTGGGGCTGGTTTGCATCTTTTGGCACTGGAAACCTGCAGTGTGAGGAAGGCAAGATGGATTCATTGAAGTATCAGGAAATCCTAGGAGAAAACGTGCTTTCCATGAGGAAGCTGAAGTATGGGCTTCATTGGACCTTTCAACAAGACAATGATCTCAAGCATACCTCAAATTCCACAAATGCTTGGTTGCAGATGAAGTCCTAAAAAAAAGTCTACAGTGGCCATCAGTTACCTGACCTAATCCTCAAAGAAAATATCTGGTGGGATTTGAAGAAGGCGGTTGAGGCACACAAACCCAAGAATTTTACTGAACTGGCTATTGCTCATTGGCAATGGGCTAAGATTCCATATTGTAATGCAATGTTCTAGGTTTCTTTGCTCTGAACAGGAGGTGTCTGGCTATGCATCTCATTTGCGGCAGGTCATAACAAGAAAACGGGGGCTCTACTAAGTACTGAAGATGCTTGCCATGAACGGTTGAATAATTTTGAGCCTGGAGAAGTTGCATTTTCAGTAGAAATTGGGGAAACCATTTGAAACAACCGTTGTGTTGAGCTATTTCATTGCTTTTGTTTGGTTTGTTTGCTGCACACATCTGAAAGTCTGTACATTTTGACAATAAACCTGATTTTCAATGAGGGTTGAATAATTTTGCTAACAACTCATATAACGTGTATATGAGAACAAGTGGAATTAAGCTGGCACATTTAATCTGCTATGCCATATTAACTACTTATACTTTTTTTTTTTAAATCTCTTTTTCATTTCCTTGGTCAGTATAACACTTTACAAGACTGTTTATCTCAAGCCTTCTTGCCCAATCCATTTACCGGATTAGGAGATTGGGCTATTCTAAAATCATCGGCGTGCTCCATTGATCGTGTAGATTCAGCAGTTTAACCACAAGTTCCAATATTAGGACTCTCGATGTGTCCAGATTATCTTTTATGTATTTTTCAAAATTTTTTAAAATTATAATTACATTGTGTCAAATTTCTTAGACGTTAATACAAACTGAGTTTACATACTAATATATATTAGTTAAATGATATTCATCGCATGAAGGATTAATCACTAAAGTGAGAATTCAAAGTGAATTTAAAATTTAGGTTCTAAAAGACCGAATCAAAAAATCCCTAAGTCAGCTATGCTTCCAGCTCAGCTACTTTGGCTTTAAATTTGAAATTCACTTTGAATTCACTCTCAATTCCCACTTTAGTAAATATCCCTGATCGTTGCAATGCTTGTGTGAAAAATCACAGAGACTCAAAACTATCAATAGCTTCAGAAGAAATTTATGATAAAAGCAAACACGCCAAGAGATCCAAAACACAGCGTTAAGGTTATTCGCTAAGCTTCACATTTTATATTAAATCAGAATGAAAAAACTGAGGCAGTAAAAGCCAAGCTGTGGCTGAGTAGGAGATTTTTTGTTCAAAATCAGTTAAATTTGCCTCAGTGTAAATATCAATCAAAGAGATATATCTTGAAAAGAGAAATGTGTATCTACATTACCTCAATTGTTGTGTCTACAGTTTCCAGTGCTGGTTTGAAGTTTTCTTTTGCAGATAAAGAATTACCTGTAGAGAGAGGGGTAACAGTGAGTGAAAGCAACACTTACAGGAACTTTGCAGCATAGTATCTAGGATTTATAACGTTCCGGTCCTAGCACAGTGTGACACATATGGAAGGCGCTACGAATCTGTCCCTCCCCCTGCAGGGTGACATGGTGACACAGACAGAAGGAGCTCCGAGTCTGTCCCTCCCCCTGCAGGGTGACACAGCTACACAGACAGAAGGAGCTCTGAGTCTGTCCCTCCCCCTGCAGGGTGACACAGTGACACAGACAGAAGGAGCTCTGAGTCTGTCCCTCCCCCTGCAGGGTGACACAGTGACACAGACAGAAGGAGCTATGAGTCTGTTCCTCCCCCTGCAGGGTGACACAGTGACACAGACAGAAGGAGCTATAAGTCTGTCCCTCCCCCTGTCTGTCCCTCCCACACATTACACTCCAGATACACGCTAGATCCCTTACCCTATATGCACTCTTAATCTTCTACACACACACACACTCACACACACACACACACTCTTCTATACACACTCTGGGTCCTTTACACATTAAATCTCTTACACACACACACACTGCACCACCTACACACACACTACATTCCTTGTAAGCAAACATATACAACATTCTCTAAACACACCCTCTCTACAACCCCTACACACACTATGTCACCTATACACACACACTACTGCCCGTATGCACAAACTCGCTACATCCTCTATAACACTATGCCCCTATACACGCATTCTCTACAGCCTCTAGCCACACATATTACACCACAAAATTGACCTATTTACACAATACCACACCACACTCTACACACAGGCAATCCCACAAGCATCCGCCAAACACATGCACCATACACTTTCCTGGCCCTTTTGTCCTCTGGTATCCCACTTGTGGAGACACCAAAGACAATTTAAAAGCAAACACAGCGCAAGCATGTTATTACATTTGCTTGCGCTGCGCAGAACAAATACAGGGCCTTTTTCTAATGCTAGACCTCTTCAGCGGGGCTCTGCGCATTGAACCAACATGCTCACTTTCAGAAGGGGCGTACTTGTCATTAGTGATGACAAAAAAACACCCTCTCTGGCCGCGCCCCCTTCTTGGGGGGCCGCTCTAATTGAAAAATGCCCGGGCCTAATTTTTTTCCCAGTCCTGCCCTGCCTATGAGGTTTTAATCGGTCAGTGCTGCAGACCGATACTCTACATCTCTACAGCTGCTAGAGTCAGACAGTTTCTCAATGTTTTACATTGCAGGGTTAAGCAGACACTGCACCAAGACCATTTTATTAAGATGAAGTGGTCTTTGTGACTATAGTGTTGCTTTAAGTATGTAGGTTTAATTTTTTTATTTTTTCAGTCAAGCAAGAGAAATACATCTAAAAAATAATTCTAACTAATCCCTATGAGGAGTTGCTGAATCGCCTCCATCCGGCCTAAATGCCGATTTTAGCTAATCTAAGGATGTAGATTGGAGACGTGGCAAGCCACCTAAATGGTTGTTTTTACACACATATTTGTGTTCCCGACCCTATAGTGTTTCATTAAGCTGTATTTGTTCAAGTGGTTATAGTGTCCCTTTAAGAGAAAGTCCTTAAACAATAGGCAGACAAGCAAACAAATTAAGGAAGGGGTGATCGGTGATTATGTAATAATTATATGCATTAAAACTGGAATCCCATTTTGTTACAGTAACTATACTGGAATTTTAGAAACTGTTATCTGTATAAATACTGATAATAAATCTCTCAAAACATGATTGTGATGCTTCATGGTTAATAAAGTTAAAAGTTAATTATTGTGTTCAAGTTGTTGCGGGACAAATGAGCAGGAAGCCTGGGAAGTGATTGGGTACAAAGTGTTCCAGGGCCCTAGGCTCCTTTATGAGGCTTTGAATTTATTTTCCTCCCTTCAGTGGGTCACAGTGTTAATGTTGTACCAGTAGGTCACATGTACCTGTATCTTCTTCACTTCCACTGATGTTGGTAATACCTCGTTCACTCCATTCATCATTACCATCATCTTCATACCATTTATCATTCTGATCATTATAGAAAGCATCCCTAATAAAACAAAAAATTTCATTAAAATTACAGAGTAACAAAAACCACAAAGCGTATACAGGCCTAATCACTTACTGTGTTTTACGGGAAATCCTTAGTCAATCTATGTGCCTTGAACAGATAGTTAAAGTAATGTTAATTAAACATAAAAACTATTTTTGCCTTAATTAGACACGGCTACTCAGTATCTGGCACCAGAGCTGCCATCAGAAATATTTTGGGGTCCCTAACACTACTCAAGGTCTGGGCCTAATTGAAAAATCCCCTGAGTACGCCCCCCGGTGCTTGCCCCCGAGTCTGCCCACAAAGATGCAATGTGTGTGTGCAGAGAATACAGTGTTTTTGTGTAGTGGATGCAGTGTATGTGTTTATGTAGGGCATGTCCAAAAGATAGATCCGTAGATGTTATAGAACTACAACTCACATGATGCTTTGCATGCCTTTAGAATAACAGAGCATCATGGAAGCTGTAGTTATAAAACATCTGGGGATCTACCTTTTTGGCATTCATGGTGTAAAGGATGCACTGTGTTGGAAAAAGTTTTTTTTCTTTTTATCATTAATTTATTAATTTTATTCCCCTCTAAATATTTCATATATGTGGCCAGGGAGGGGGATATTACACTTCCTGGTGATCATCTGGCATTGTGCAGGCTGCCAGGTGCTGTGCAGTGAAGAGGAGGCCCAGCCAACAAGATCTTCTTGTGAGTCCAGTCTATGTGTCGTTCAGAGCGTTGTCACGGTAACTAGCAGCAACACTCTGACAGCTGGGGGCTCCCGTGAGTTGGAGAGAGCTTCTGAAAGCTAAAGGTCCCAAGTGCTGGCAACTGTTTTCACTATACAAGAGGCACTGCAGAGGCAATGTTGGAACTAACATAGAGAGAGCCATGGTGCAAGTTTTTTTGGGGGGGTAACCTTGTAGCCAAAAAGATCCCCATCTGTCGTGCAAGTTCCACAATACTTTGCTTGCTGGGGATATACAATTTGCCCATGCTTGCAGGGTTGTGTTTAGCATGGAGCTGTGTGTCTGTGTTTGAATGTAAATGTGCTTTTGTATAGAGTATGCATGTGTGAATATTTTGAATGCAGGCGTGCATTTGTGTGTAGTGTATAAACTGCCACACACACACTGTGTGTGTATAAACTGATACACAGACATACACACCAACATACATACAAATACACAGACACACACTGACCCATACACAGATATATACACACACACACACACACACTGGTACATACACACACTGACATGCAGATACATACACAGATACACACAGAGACAGCTTTGGTTAAATGTGATAGTGTTTGGGGAGTAGATGTGAGGGTGGTTGAACATGCCACAGTTAGGGAGTGAGCGTGACAGGGTTGGAGGGGTGGGGTGAGTGTGAGTGTTGGGGTGGGTAAGTGTGACAGTGTGAGAGGGGGCAAGTGACTGGGAGGGTGTTGGTGTGACAGGGTTAGTGTGACATGCTAAAGTGACAGGGTTTGGATGATAGGACTAGTGTGACAGGGTTAGGGGGGTTAGTGTGACAGGGTTAGAGGGGGTTAATGTGACAGGGTTAGTGGGGGTTAGTGTGGCAGTGTTTGGGGTGTTGGTGTGACATTGTTAGAGGGGGTTAGTGTGACAGGGTTGGGGGGTTAGTGTTGCAGGATTAGAGGGGGTTAGTGTGACAGGTTTAACGGTGTTAGTGTGACAGGGCTAGGGGAGGTTAGTATGACAGGCCAAGGGACAATTTTATAAGGTGTGTGGCACAGAGAGGTTGGTGAGTGATAATGAACAGAATGTCAGTGGAGATAATGAACAGAACCACGAGGGAGTGCAGCTCCTCTAACAACACACTGGACCACCAGGGAGCCCACTAGCAGCCCACCGAACCACCAGGGAGTCCACCAGCCGCCCACCAGACCACCAGGGAGTCCACACGCAGCCCTTCGGGCCACCAGGTAGTCCATATCTAAGAGCAGGCGATCTTTTGATCTCCCTGCTAGCTCACGGAAGGGGGCCCGAGATCTAATAGAACACCAGTGTTCTATCAGATTTCCCTATGGGTATGGACATTTTACAGGGTAGGGAAATCTGATAGAACACCGGCACTCTCCTCTCCCCACCTAATTTCTTGCGGCTATTGATGGATTCGGCGCAGTGAGGTATCAATGCTCCCTCGCTGCGCCAAATCCGCAGATAGCTTTAATTATTAGAGGAGTGTGGGTCCTGGGAAAACCGTCATGGTTGTCACACCCTGATGGCGGCCCTGCCTGGTGCATAAGCTCATAACATCAAACAACATAAATATAACACAGAAATATATGTTATGCCCCATGATCACATTATAACACATAATGTAATTCTTACAATTTCCTAGTTTTTTTTGCTCTGAACAGGAGAATTCCCACAGTGAGAATGATAATTAACAGGACACCAATGGCTGCTCCAACACCACCATATAGAGCAGCCTTTAAAATCCTCCCCTGACAACGAGAACCACTGTATATGTATTTCTCTGGTTTTGAACACCTGAAATAAAATAAATATGATTAGTTCACTACACAGCAACCTTTAAATTAATTAACAAATCAAAAAAGAAAGGGACACTCTAAGCATGAAAACAACTTTAGGTTAATGAAATGGTTTTGAGGTAGAAAGTCTCACTTCTCCATTTTCTCAATGATTTAAATAGAGAAATTATCGGACTTCACAACGCTGCTTGCAATTTAAATTGTGACCAAACCTTCATACAGCTGAGTGAGTGATCAATTCGTACAATACTTGAAACTTAAAATAAAAAAGGAATCCAGTGCTCACTGGATAAATTCTACTACTGCTTGTTCTAATAAATCACAATCTTTGTTTTCTTGTACTTGTAATAAATTCAAACAATTATATGCACTAAAAACAGCTCACACTGTTGAGCCACCAGAGCAAAATATGTGTTTTATGCTATTGCACACTTTATCAAGAGCACAATAACAAGCAGTGGCAGAACTACCACGGTCTCATGGGTTGCAGCCGGCCACCCTGCTGACCTGGATGGCAGGTGCCTACTCTGCAGAGATATACTGGAGGGGAGGGGAGGCATTTGGCAGCGGCGAGGGGGAACTTATCTGTCAGTTCCTCTCTTTTCCCTTGCGCCCTCTGTGATGCCGCGAGCAGGAATATGACAACATTCCGTTAGTGTGTTTATGTGTCTGCCTGTCAGTTTGTGTGTGTGTGTGTGTGTCTGTTAGTGTTTGTATGTGTCTGCCTGTCAGTTTGTGTGTGTGTGTCTGTCAGTTTGTGTGTCTGTCAGTGTGTGTCTGTCAGTTTGTTTTTGTGTTTGTCAACATGTGTATGTGTCTGTGTATGTCAGTAAGTGTGTGTGTGTCTGTCAGTTTGTGTGTGTGTGTGTGTGTGTCTGTCAGTTTGTTTGTGTGTGTGTCAGTGTGTGTCTGTCAGTTTATGTGTGTGTTTGTCAGCATGAGTATGTGTGTGTCAGTGAGTGTGTGTCTGTCAGTTTGTGTGTCTGTCACACACGTGGGTGGGAAAGACACATGGGGGAGCTGGGAGGTGGGAGAGACACATGGAGGGACTGGAAGCTGGGAGAGACACATGAGTGGTTGGAGAGACACATGGAGGGGCTAGGGGGAAATAAGACGCCTGGAGGGACTAGGAGGAGAATGATACAAGTGGAGGGGCTGGAGGAAATGAAACACATGGAGGAACTGGGGGGAATGAAACATGTGGAGAAACTGGGGGGAATGAGACATGTGGAGGAGCTGGCAGGGGGGATGAGACAGTGGAGGGACAGGCGGGGAGGTATTCTCATCTTACAATATCAGAAGCAACATTATGTTTGTTCTCTTTGTTATCCTCCTTGTGAGAGACTGCTATTTAAGGATCAGGCTTGGGATGGCTTCAGGCCCCTTAAAGCTAAGGTTTTCTGTTGTACTTGCTGTTTGGAATAACTTTTATGTGACTGATGTTGCAATTCCATAATCAAACTATGCAACAATATCACATCGCAATAAACTACAGTCAGTTGACCCATGCAATAATTCCAGGAAAGTAAAATAATCAAGAGGCAAAAAGTATATATTTATTTAACATTTATGATATATCACTTATATATTAATAATATGTTATACTCACAGGCACTCAGGTCCTGTCACATTCTGAATCTGGCAGGTTCCAAAATAACAGATATAAAGGTTGTTGGATCTGGAGTCGCAGTGTGATATACACTGCAAGCCATCAGAATTTATAAATGCTGAGTAAAATGCATTAAAACCTTCACCAACTCTGCTATTACAGATTTCTGAAGAAGGCAAGTAAGAAAAAAATATTTTATGTCATGATATTTTTCAATTGAAGAAATATAAAGGGCTGTGAAGAAATTTCTCATCACTCACCTTGTTCACTCGGTGGCTGAATTTCTGTTATGTTGCCGACTGACGAAACACAAAGGGCGTCAACGTCTGTGAAGACATAAAGCAAGAGATACTACTAGGACTGAAAGGTTCTTCCAAAGTCAACTCACAGGAAGCAATATGAAACTCATAGGTGTTACGTATAAAATCATTGCAGTCAAATGTTACATTAGTTTGGCATGTTCTTATTTTGCATTTATTGATTTCATTTTGTGTGCCAGAACTTTATTGTGTGTGCTCATGTCCATGCTTTTTAATATGTGTACTTTTTTTGCTTGTTTCGTGTGTGTATATATATATTTATTTAAGATTTAAATATGTAAATCTTAAACCTGCAGCTATTTTTCTGACAAAAGTTTACACCTCTATCATTGTTGTGATTTTTTCTGTGCCAGACAAGATATAGGCGATGAGGAACCATAACTTGTGGTAGTAGTGCTTGAAGTGTTCTTTAAATGCAAATTGAGCATATTGAGCAATATTGGAATGCAGTTTGAACTGATGGTCTGGATAATAATAAGCACAGTTATATTGTAATACTAATGTGCAATTGATGATATGTACTTACCATTTTCCTCTGCGCAGGTACCATTTTTTACTTCCTCAAGCTGGTCTCTTACATTATTAAGTATTTCACTGTATTTTTCAGACACATTTTTATCTTCTGAGTATTCTGTCTCTACAATCACGTCATGGTCCACAATTACACCGTCCTGTCTATGAGAAACAATGATTGTAAGTGAGATATAATCATCCATCTGTAGATCTACCAACCATCATAATTTTAGTGGGACAGTCACTATATTTGGGTCTTGTCCTGTCATCCCAACCTGTTGTCCCCAACAAGAATAGCACAATTGTATCATTAGACGCACTTGCACTACGTTCAGGGTGCTAAGACCCTGCAGAGAGCCTTGAAACAGTGCCACACACGTGGTTTCTCCCAAGTATGCTGGCCTTACATTAATTGGACTTACAATAGTTCAGACGAACTCATCACATTTCTGGCGGGTCCGCCTCTTGGGCTAAGCTAGTGATGCAAAATATATTTTCCCCTTTCCCATTACCTCCCTTTGAACGGTATCCCCATAATTGGGATACAAAGGTTGAGATTTATGCATCTATTAGAATACATCAGGATGCACTAAGACCTTAGCTGATGAGGATTCCATAGAGAATGAGAAGAACACATTTGTTAAATTATTTTAAATTCTTTTGAGGCTAAAGAATAGCTAGAGATTTAGGCCTGTCTGCTTTCTACACTATGTGGTTTCTTATTGCCTGGCTTAAATTACAGAGCGATGTCACTGACATTATCTCACACATTATGGAAGGAAGTCACTAATTGACCAGGGATATTAATGCAGGTATTTGATAAGAAGGATGGTTGGTTTGTTTTTTTGAGCATTGAAATGATTATTCACTCATGCTCTTTGTGGTCATAGTAGATTGGAACTGCATGGGAGACGGCCAACGGTGCTTAATTAAAGGACCACTCCAGGCATCATAAAGACTTTTTTTTTTGGTGCCAGGAATAAGACTAAATCCCAGACAAATCAATTTGTTAGGGTCTGGAATTAAAAGGAATTTTATTTTATTTAATTTGGACCAAGAGGCTCAAACTAATATTTGCTCAAGTTTACTATACAGTGAATATATGTAGGTATGTATCATACAAAGCTATTCACTAGAGTGAAAACTCAAGGAGAATTACAACTTTAAGATAAAGGTATCTTAACTGGATGCATAGCTGACTTATAGAATATTGCCAATTTGGGTATCTTGGCCTTATACTTGACATTCACTTTAAATTCTTATTTTAGTAAATATGCCCCATTTGAGTCACCCTTTAACATTTTCTGAGCATCACCCTTTATTTTTAGATGAGTATCACATTCCACAGATGAAATTACAGAAAGGCAGATTTTGCTTTTGAACACTTACTCCTCATTATAAAGTTCTACATTTTTATATCCGGAGTTGCCAGTATATACCTCTTTCATCTGTACAAAAAACAAAAGGTAGAGGGTAAATCCAGTGCATAAGTGACAGTAATATAAAAGTATTGACAATGTTTTTTTTTACATCAGATAATACAAAAAAATCAAGCAAATAAGGTGACACAAAAAGTAAATACTGGGGGCAAGTACTATAACTCCAGTTATATTGTGTTACAATAAATACATGCAGCAACTGTAATAATTCTGGTAAAATGATTAAAAAATAACACATACTACTAAATGGTATGCAATAAAAACCATACACCATAACAGGCCATAAAAGGTAATAACAAATATCCTAAAATATTAGGGATGTGCATGGGCAAAATATTCGGTTTGGTTTGGCACATCCAAAATTCGGGACTTCGGCACTTCGGGACTTCGAGAATTCAGGACTTCGGCAATTCCCTAAACCTAACCCTACCACTAACCCTACCTGTAACCTACACCTAACACTAACCCTACCCCTAACCCTATACCTAACCTAACCCTTAACCCTACTAGGGGTAGGGTTAGGGGTAAGGTGTAGGGTTAGGAGTAGAAGTAGGGTTAGGGGTAGGGTTAGATTCCTGTCATCATTCCCTTGATTTCCCCTGCCTCTCCTGTTTTGCCACTTTTCAGAAATCCAAAGCACTTTGGCACTTCCGAAATTCGGCACTTAGGGAATGTGGCAATTCAGCAATTAGGCATTTCGGACATTCGGAAGCATCTGAATGTCCGAATTGCTGAAATCCATCTGAATTTCAATTCGTACCGAAACGAATTGCACATGTCTATAAAATATAACATGCTTGAGAAAGACCCAGGAGGTGAGGTGAAATGTGTTGCACCATCTCCCAAACTTGGAAGTGCATGCTTGAATATGGAGTGAGTCTCCGAACGGACACACTACGATAGAGACTGAGAAGTGCTCGGATTGCGCGCTGTGAAAACTGCCAGCGGGACAGTGTACTCTGGAGTTTGCTTTCGGTGAGGAACTGAATAATCTATTAAGCATTGCAATTGTATCTGTATGCTAAATATTGTTGTCACTGTTGCACTTTAAATCCATTAATTTAATTAACTGCATGTTATATATTTCCAATGCATTTAAGATATTTGTTGTAAAATTTTATGAATTATTATGGTATATCATTTTTGTTGCGCACCATTTATTAGTATGTATACAGATAATACACGTTTAAATTGAAAGCACATATTCGCTACTACTATAATGCTGTGTTTTACAATTAGCACATTTGAATGTTGAATATTTCTACCTAGATCCTACTGTACTGTATTTGAGGCCTGTAATAATTTTAGTAGTAGGTTTTTTTTTACTGTGTGCTATTCTTGTTTAATTATCATGTTCATTCTCAATTTCACTTTAATATTGTATTTAAATCCATAGTACCAGTTGAGTTATTTGTGAAACTCTGTGATCAGGAATTTGATGGCTATGTGTCAGGATAATATTGATCCAGCACGCAGAATAGTATCACGCCTAGAACTAAGGGTAACTTCTTTTGAAAGAGGGAGGAGCTGAAGTAATTTAATTTGAAAAAAAAGTGATTTTTCAAAAAAAGAAAGAAAAACATGAGTGAGCAATTAAAGATCTATTCCATCTTTTAATTTTTTTAAATTTATTTTGGGGGTTTTCGGCCGAAGTGGTTCTGAAAACCAGACGTTTTTAGCCCTGCACAAGCTTATTATACAATTTCCTCATTCTTAGTGTTTCTCATGGGGTATCCAAGCCACGAGAGGCACACTTATGGTTGCCCAGAATTTTTTTTTTATAATTTTTGTCTTAAGTGAACACTTCTACAATTTTTGTTACATTATTGTTTATTCACGACACTTATTTCTCACCTCTTTCTTAAACGTGGATACCCCATGCTCTTCAATCTCGATTCTACGCAGCTTTTCAGAAAATGTTTTCTTATTGATTGTCAGATCTCTTTTTACATAAGAGTTCAGTGGTTTACCTGTGACAAAAAATATTAGGAATAGTTTTATACACCTGTGCTGTTCAGTTTTTAAAATACAGGGAATAATGCCTTTAGTTTAGTGGACATATTAGTGATGCTCCCCAGCAAAGATGCAATTCTTAATACTTATACTTGTTTTTACGTTGTACCAAAAAAACTAAAAATATTTCACCCAGCTTAAAGCTTAAACACCAGTGAGCAAATATATTACCATTTCATCTGTATGGTAAAAAGATTCCTCCCCAATCCCCAATAATAACAATATGCCAATAAGACTTACAGATTAAAAAGATAAGAAGCCAAACTTCGAATAGTATATCTAACAAATGTAAATGTGAAAGGGGACACTGTGCACTCATTTATGTCTTGGAACAATGGGACATATCATGAACACAGAAATAAATGGGGGGAAATAAATGGGGGGAAAAAGAGAAGGGGGACATGCAGTTATGGCGAGAGTGTGACAATGTGCCAGCAAGGGTTTGAATATGCAATACAAGAGTTTAAATGTATATTGAATATTATTATTATTTATAATCCTACATATTACATGGGCTATGAAAACAAGTATTTGCAACAAAAAAATGTTTAACATACAGGAATAGAAGGCACTGAGGGCTCTGTTTAAGTATGCTTACATTCTAAGGGGATTGGGGTAAAATGGACCAAGAGGTAAGTATAAGATGTATTTCATATAATGGAAAGGTAGGTTTCTAGATGTAGATTTCTACAACTTAGTCTTCGTTAACAGTTTAATTGATACCTTCCTGAAGAATTGAGTTTTCAGTGAGTAAGTTTATTTATTGAACTGTGTTGATGCAATTTATGACACTTAATTTTAGTACTTTATTTGTGTATGTTATTATAACACAACAATTGAGGAACTTTAAGGTGGTTTTGTGAGTCCTGTAATGTTTTACAGGAATAGCACATGCATTTAGCACTTTATTGAAACTGGTACACTGCATTTTTTTTTTTGCATTTATAAGCAATGTGTGGTACTTTATCGGATAATATATGACGTTTAATTGTGCATGGTATTGACACTATTTCTGTTTACTTATGCATTGTTACTTACCAACTATTACTAATCGGACAGAGATTCTTACTGTCCCTTCCATGTAACATGACCATTTACAATACAGTTTAATTGCACTTAGCTGCCACCACATGACTTAGTAAAGACCCTGGTATAACGTTGTGCTGGGTCTTTGTTAATCATTGACAAACCCGTGTTTAAGTGGCTAATGTTAAGTCCACTTTTATAGTAATGTAAAGATCTCCATTTGCAAACTACTTGGTGTTGTGGCGCCATTTCATTTTACAGTCACAGACGCACCTCAATCAGATAAACACTGTCGATTATACACACGTCAGACACCCTCAGTCAGATAGACACAGTCCGTCAGACACCCTCAGTCAGATAGACACAGTCCGTCAGACACCCTCAGTCAGATAGACACAGTCCGTCAGACACCCTCAGTCAGATAGACACAGTCCGTCAGACACCCTCAGTCAGATAGACACAGTCCGTCAGACACCCTCAGTCAGATAGACACAGTCCGTCAGACACCCTCAGTCAGATAGACACCGTCTGGCAGACATCCTCAGATGCACATAGTCACTGTTATACATGCACAGAGTTATTCAAGCAGTTCAAACTTACAGTTTTCAGTAACACAGTTTTTGTTCTGAATTGTGGGCTCACCTGCATCTCTTTTCTCCTTTCTGGCTATCTTGTCATTGTATTCAGCAACAAGCACATCATCATCATAGTTCTTTTGCACAAAT